CAGAAGCAGGGGTCAAACACGTTCCATCCAAGGCACAAGCTTCAACAAAGATCTATAAAGCGGAGGCGATCGGTTGCTTGACATGCAAAACCCCAGGGCTTGATGGACCGTCCAAAGTATATTCTATAAAGCGGTTAACAATCCCCAGAACGACAAGATTCTATATCATGGATCCACTGGCATGACCATTTCTCACTGAATATAGTGTGTTTTTATCTTCAGGTACACTCTGTCACACTGACATGGGGCGGAAATTTTGCCGCTTGGAAGACGAGTTGTTCCTCTATCAAACCCGTTGTCCCACTCCGCATCCATGGAAACGATTGTGCAGGGCAGGAAAGTGATCGTTCAAACCCTAGGAACTTGAGGCAAAGAAAAACACAACTCCCCAAGCCATCGCACGCATGCGCCCCCAAATGATCGTGTGTTTTCTGCGAGCCAGAGAGGTTTGGCTTTGACCTCCGGCAAACGTCGGGTGCTGAAACCGGATGCGGGAGAGGCGACAGGTGTTTGAGGTCAAAACACCCTCTGCATATAAGGCTCACATAAAACCGGGCACCGATGAACGTCAGCTCGAGATGGACTATGAACAGAACAGAACCGAGCGCCGGGCACCCCAGCTTGCTCTCTGCACCTTAAAGACGTGAAGGTGTTGAGCGTACTCAATGACGTCAAAACCATCTGGGGGCTATGTAAACGACATAGACTCATGGTGCCAAACATGTGCAGTTTGCCAAGAATCTGTAGCGATTGGGCACGACTCTGAAAGGATCAGGAAAACTGCAAAGAAGGCAAGTCTCGACTATGCTGGCCAGTGCACCTGTCACCTTGAACCCTTGCTCACTCTTCCTACTTGGTGAAAGCGCAAAGCACAAGCACGTGGCTGAACACAAAGAGATTGAACAGGCTGCACCGCTGGGGTCGGAAGGTTGTCTACATAGTAAGTATTGTGAGGGACAGGCTGAGTTCCAACAGACTGTAGACCACTGCAGACCTACAATCAAGAGGCCCCACATGCCTTCCACCAACACCATACCTGCCTGCACATCAAAAAATGGCGCTGAGCAAAGACATATCGCTAAGGCTTCGCGGGTGCTGCGGCTCGGCGGTCCACGGCTTCTAAGAAGCTTCGGTCATCCACACTGAGAGGCCTCATCTTCCGTCTCACAAGGCCAGAGAGTCCAGCCAACAACGGCAGGCCTGACCCTTTTTGGGGGGATTCTATCGAAAGTGAAGCCAAAAGCTTGATGGAAGGCCACTTTACCAAATGAATGTTGAGAACTTTGTGCCTACATCTGCTTGTGAAGCAAGAGTCTGTGACTCCAAGGACAAAGGCCGCTGCCAAGAAGGTCAGTCTCAACAAAGGCGGCAAGTGCAACTGTCAAGACACCCCTCCCCTCACTTGTCCTACTTGCTGCAACGCACGGCGCACGAATTTCTGGTGGTCCCACCACTATGTAGAGGGCAAAGCCATCTGTACCTTTTCCCTGGACACAGTCGAGCAAAGCTTCTCGGGGCGCATTCCCAGCCCCTAGCAACACCTGTGGATTCTCAAAGCTGAGGGGCTGGCCAAGCCCATGTCAAAGAGGATTGGCGAGATGGGAAAGGCTGATGATGAAGTTATGGTGATGGTGGGCTTAGGAGTTCTAGTATTGACAGGCACATAGACTAGGTGAGGTTGAGAGTTGGGCTACCACCACTAGGTTGAGAGTTGGACGTTGGCGGCGAACACCCACTTTGGTACTAGCCTTCAGTTCCACCGCATACAAAAGCTAACACAAGGGACCGCAGCCAAGCATGAATCTGACTTACTTGGAGTAGATTTCAAATTCGGGAGCGCCACCGCCGAGCTCTGCCCATCCGTCTACACATCAACTGAGCAAAGCCTGCTTGCGGCCAGCCTCAAGGTATACCTTCTTGTCTTGAAGGGTTGACGAACATAACCGCAGCTGCTGAGAATGCTTTGAAGCATTGCAAGCTGGGAGTCCTCTCAACCTACTTTCGCATCCAAATACCTTGATGCCTTACCGTCTCAAACATACATGCGTTCGGCAGACATACAATCCATGCTGCTTGCGGAATTCGCCTACAGTAGCTGCACTCGGATCAAACCAGCACTGCCGCATTGCACCCAGCGAACTCCTTTGGCGCCACTCCCCGTCAAAAGCACTCGGATGTTCTAATTCTGCTGACATCACCCATGCTGCGCACGCTCAGTACACGTGGCACGGGCACATGCGACAACGGCGCAAAGCGTGGCGAGACGTTCGAGAGAACAGCAGGGGCCTCATTCGAGCCACCCTGAAACACAGACTTCTGCGGCTGACATCGTCTAATTCGAGCAACGCCTGAAATCCTTACAAGCGCAGTTCAGACCCAGAGTGAAGCGACAATTCGCTTCACTGGTGGAAGAGAACGGCACGGCTTGTGTCCAACCTTTTTCGAAGGAACTGCGGCTTTTGTTCCCCGCCACGGGCGGAAACCGCCGCGGCGGCCGCAACGGACGCGACAGCCCAAGTCCCGGGGTGACCGGTCTGGTTGACACAGGACTGTGATTACATGACATTGTACACCAGGGAAGTACAACACACCAGGGTCTACATTGGTTGACTGCCCTGGTGTACTCCTGACTTGACAGTCCATCACTTCATTGAAGACTGTGGCATTTAAACCCGTCGTGGAGCCACAAGCGAACCCGAGCATGACTGGCCGAACCGGGCTGAGACACGTCGGAGCCTGACAGCTCGAAGAGGCCAGACAAAAAGATCTGCTTGCTTGGCCACCTTAGCGCCTCCTTACAAATCCATGCTTTTGGGGTACCCGTCTTTGCGGACGCTTCGTACTCGACCCCCGATTCTGAATCCATGTGTTTGGTTCGGGTGGAGCTGCGTTTTGGTGCCAAGCACGGTTGTAGCTAGCCCGTTCTCAGGAGGCTCATGCCAGCGACCAAGGACGCAACGACTTCCGGATATGATAGAAATGAATAAAGGGTCTGACACGGCATCCGACGCTTAAAGGAAACACTGGAGTGCTCGGGCGTGAAATGCAGTTATTGGCAAGGATTTGCATGCTAAAGCCAGTTACATTGATTGAACACTAATGAGTAGACTCTCCCTTCAAAAGCTCACCGCATTTGAAGGGCCTCAATCTCCAAAAACCTGTACGTTCGTCAAGAGCGGCTCATTCTGCAAGAAAACCTGAAGCTCTGCCTGCAGTCTGGTGCTCAAGGCCCGGAAAGCTGACGGATTTGGAAATCGGCCAGGGTGACTGATGTGACTCAGATTAGCAGTTCTCTTCAAGTGAGTTTAGAATGTTGGGCGAGGAGCTAGCTGCCATGTTCTGACCTTAGAGTCTGATCCAAGAACAGTTCTTACCATGTTTCTCCGGCAAGGTAACATCGTAACATGGAACGCCAAAATCCCTGGCCTGTGGAGAGAAACGGTTCGGTCTTGTAACCAAGCACTACAAATGCAACAAGCACCTAAACTTAGATTCAGCTTTGCAGCCAGTGCTTGCAATGTAAACTTAAGGAATAGTTAAAATAGAATGTAACGATGGAAACAAATGCAAAACGAGCAAGACTACATGCCCCAAAAGGAGAACCAGTCAGTGAACCGCTCTTGCTTTATTGAATTTTGCAAGTGGACTATTTCTCTCTGAACGGGCTAAGGTGCCGTTTCAATGGGGATGGGCTTGGCACACAAGGGGGGAGACCATGTGTCTGAGATGTTTTTATGATTTTTAGAGTCTTTATTTCTTGGCGGTTTTCAGTCGTGTGACGATGGCCTTTGACTCAGCACGGCCAAAGCATGATAGACTAATACATCATCACGTAAACGATTATGCTGGCTTGTCCATGGATTGTCTCCCGCCCAAGTGACTTTGGACTACGCAACAAGGACAAGTTTCAACATTCAGTGCACGAGGGCACTTTAAAGTCTCGCTCTCGCCAAACACTAGGACCCCAAGCACAAATGTCGGTTCAGCGTCAG